AATTATGTATTTATTATTTTGTTTGCATTTTTTACTGGATAATAGTTTTTTCTCCATATGAAATTAAAAATTAAGCTTAAAATGGGTTGTAGGGTTGTATATTTTATACTTCCTAAAAAAAAAAAAATATTGGTGAAGAAAATTATACATACATATATATATTTTTTTTAATTTTATTCAACAAAAGTCGCCAACAAATAAATTTTTCATTATCAGTTGTTGAGTAAGTGGCGCTTAATTAAGCTCTAGAATTCCTTCGTGAAACGAAAATGAGCATAAAGCATATAAAACGAGCAATACTAAAATACACTGAAAAACGTGAACGTGATTAGTAAGCCATTTATTTTATTGGACAAGATTTGGTACTCACTCGTCACGGGAAATTCCATACGAAATACTTTAGAAGTGGATTCTTGTAATGCAAACACATGAAATTCTAAGCGATTTTCAATTGAAGATGTTGGATTGTTTTGGGCACATGTGTCACTTGTTTAAAGATTTTTGAAGATCAAGAACTAGCTACTTCAAGAGTCTAATGTCTGGTTTAACAATTGCCCGGAACGGCATTTGGCTTGGAATTCGTGCTGCGCACTTTGACGTTATAATTTTTCACAAAACAAACCCAAGCCTCACGAACAATATTTTTGTATGAGCAAAAATTTGTGCACACTCAAAACATTTTAGACTCACGGAGTATAAAACCTTATGCTGCCTTTACACAGGTCGATTTTTGTCCTTCAACCCAAATCGACGGTGGCAATTCAACCGTAAAATGAAAGTGTTTTGGCTTGTCGATTACTCAGTCGATTTTCCAGTCGACAAAAATCGACCCATGTAAAGGCAGCTTTAGGCTTTGTTGCTTTTACCAACTTCCCAAAAATTAAAAACTGACTCGTGCTATTGTTTATACAACCGAAATCTATAACTGTTATGTTCCGTTTCCACGACAAAAGGGTCTACGACCCAGATTCATATCTGGCCAAGGACTGTCACTGCAGCATCATTCCCCAAAAGATATTGTTTTCGTTATTTGTAAATAATTTAGTATCTATATGAAAAATTATTCGAGTGAAGGATAAATTACTTTATTCGTTATTCGAATAATCAGTGAAAATAAAACAAGTAATATTCAAGATAAAACACTAAGGAAATAAAAAATCAAATCGTCGATCAGTGTGCTATAAGGGAATGAATGAATAAATATTATTTCAAATAACGAATAAAATCACGAATAAGCAATTTATTCTCGAATTAATCAATCGTGAATGAATTATTTGCAAATAATTAAATTATGGATAACATTTTATTCAAAATATTATCTAAATAACAATTTATTCGAATAAAGCTCACCGCTGGTTACTGCTGTGTTTATTGTTCCCACTACAGTAGGGTCTGCGTAACCGGAAGAACACAGATTCATTCTTGGCCAAGGATGGTTACTCTAGCAGCATTCCCCAAAGACTATTTGGAGGTTTTTTTCTGCTGTTACAACAACAACAGCCGTTATGTCTATGGTAAATACACAGTGTAATGAATATTTCACAGCCCTGTTCTGCAATCCGAATTCCAAATTCGAAACTCTCTAGCTCCAACTCAAGCTGTCGCAGTTTAATCTGGTTTTATTTTATTTTTATTTATTTTTATTTTTAATTATTTTCAATTTTAATTCGTTTACTTACATTTTTGGTTGTTCGCTAAAGTTTAAAATGTTCCTTTGATCACTTACATTTATATTTTTATTCGGATCGGATTGCAGAACAGGGCTGTTATAGTGAGCCTGTTGAGAATTACAGAATTGTGTAAGTGGTCTTCGTGATTTACAGAATCGACAATATACATATGTTCACAAAAGAAATGGTATGGGCGTCACAAAGTGTCTACGGTAATAACTGTTAATCAGAAAGTTAACCCTAAAAATATTTTTAATTGAAAATTTGCAATGAAAATAAATAAATAGGTATAAATTTTTTGCAGCGAACTCAATAAGATGCATAGATACTATATCCAAAGAACATAGAAAACTAGGAAGGTGCATAGTAGTAGGTCACGTTCCAACGTAACGCGGCTGGAAGTTCACCAATCGGCTGGTTGCCTTGAACAACAAACAACCAGCCGAGTGGTGCACTTCTATGTAGCTTCCCTGTTTTCTAAGTTCTTTGCTCTATATATCAAGCAGGTTCTGCAATTCAATTCCGAGTGAATTTCAACCCCATTCAAGTTGAATTCAAAGTGACTTTTGTTTGAAATTCACTCGGAAGTGAATTGCAGAACCTGTCAGTATGAGTTAAAAAATCGAATTTTACTCGTGTTTTGTTCTTAGCTATTCATGCCTATTACGATTAAGTATTAAGAATTAGATTCGTCAGAACAGCATCCGTAGGATACACGCCAATTCCGGTGCTAACGATCCCATTCACACGAATGTAATCCTTCACACTCGCTTGTTACGACAGTGCGAATCGAGCTCGATACGTGCGCATGACAACCGTCGGATACCGTAATAAGCATGATTATTTTTATTCAGGTGATTCTTTTAAACACGAAAAATTCACAAAACATGCAAGCATTTTTCATGCAAATTTTGACAGTTAAGCCAAAGTTTTGCGATTGTCGAGGAACTCGGGTGTTTTTCGAGCTTAAGGAACACCCTTCTTGTTTTTGTTTTTTTTTTTTGTTTTTTTTTGATTTATTTATACTATTGCACTATACGCTTCTTCAGCTCTCAGCGTTTGCTTTTTTGCCTTAAATCAAACATACCAAAGTTTATAGTTATTAATTAGATTTATTTATTTTGTTTTTATTTGTTGCATTTTTTTGTTTTTCAATTGTATTTAGAAATAAAATTAAACATGACCGCCTTGACTTAACGACTTACAAAAATGATGTTTACATGTAGCATAGCATACACAAGTTACATAAATAATAATTTTTTGTTTAATCATAAAAGTAATAATATTTATTTTATTAATAATCATAATAAAAACGGCAAACTAAATTTAAGTAATTAGTTTAATTGCATTTAATTATTTTATAAAGTATAAAGAACAACATAGTACATACATACTTAGTTAATGAAACTCGACAAACTTACCGCGAGCGATGTGAAATCTCCGTTTTTCTTTACTGCTTACATATTTTCTTTTTTATTTTATTTTTTATTTTTATTTAGTATATTTTCAAGTTTGCTTATAAAGTAATTAATAATAATTAAACTTCTTCAATGCTTCTCACTTTGCTGTAATGCTTCATATGCAGCTAATTTATTTATTTTTATTTTTTTTCCTAAAACAGGGTTTGCACATATTTTTCTGATTTTCTATTTAAATTTGTTCGCTGAACTGATGTTTGCATTTGGCGATAGTGCTTAGGCTGCACCGGTGGGGGCGGCGGCGGCCGGCAAGTGACACAACTTTGTGCCGGCGGCTCAAACACAGTGCTAAGCTTTTTGTTTTTGCTTTGAACTACATGCAATCAGTGAAATAAATTTATGATACACAAATAAATTTTCAAATCGCGTAATTTTGTATTTAAAATAATAAATGCGTTTGAAACGCTTGGCACACGCGCGCAACGTGATACAACGAAAACTAAACGTTTGGTGAATGTAAGTAGCGGCCGCGTTGCCAACAGCTTTTCAGCCTCTGTTCACATTTAGTGGCGTTGCCAATCGTTCGCTTGAGCAAGCGTTGCAGTAGCATTTCAAGCGCATTTGATTGATTGCATTTTTTACATACAACATGTATGAAATATGAATGTGTGTGATGGTAGTTTAAATTTTTACTGATTTTTGTTTTTATTTAGCGACTGTTGTTTTTTTTTTTTGCAGATTTTTCGTTTTGGATAATAAAGTTTTAGTTTGTAAACTTTGAATATGCTGTTAGTCCTTGCCACAGTGAGTTTGCGTACGGGTAGTGCAAAGTGCAACGGCATTGCTTCTTATTTTTCCCACATTCCGTTTGCGTTCTTTATGCTTGCCAACAAATACATATGTATTTTTTTGTTTCAAATATTTTTTTTTTTGCAATTTTTTCTGTTTTTTGTTTTTGTATATTAGTTATTATTTTTTTTTAGATTTAGATTTTTTTGATTACATTTCATTTTACCAGTAACTGCTAACTGCTGCTTCTCAATATATGCATGTATGGATGTATATATGGCTGCTTGCCGCACGCCACATAACCTCAAACTGCTGCATCTGCTTGAATTCTTCAACTAAGCTACTATTTTTTGCGCACTTCTATCATTTCATATCGTCAGCGCATCAGTATCGTCATTATAATTGTAATTTATTTTATTTTAATCATTTATCATCATCTATACAACGCAAATATATGATTTTTTTATGATTTATGCTACGTTTGCTTTTGTAATAATAAATTTAATAATATTTTTTGTTTAATATTTTATTTATATATTTTTTTTTTAATTATGTTGTTTTTAATGCATTTACCATTCTTTGTTGCTTATCAATAAGAATTTTTTTTTTATTAGTTTTCTTTCTTTTACTGCTTGCTATTGTTGTTTTCCTTTTCTTTTTGTTGCTTAACTTGTCGTATTTATGCAAACCTTTTTTTCTTCTTTTATTTACCTGTTGCTATTCACCTAACCTCACTTATGTTGTTTATACTTTCTGCTAAGGATAAAGTAAAAATAATATTGAAAATTAAATTTTCTGTTTTTTTGTTTTGTTGTTGTTGTATGTATCGCAAGTGGTTTCTTGCACATTTTAAACAGCTGCGAATTTTTAATGTATTTATTTATATTATTCTCTTACTTTTGCAATTATTTACTTTCAAAGTGTTTTACGTTTTAGCATTATTTTCTTTAATAATAATGAATTATTTATTATATAATATATAATTAATTATATGTTAGTTTTGTTTTCAATATTTTCCGTACTATATTTTTGTTAATTTTTTTTTTACTGTTATTTCTCTCTTACTCTCTCTTTACTCGTACACATTTTTATTTTTAACTTTTTATAGCATTTTTTTACTTTATTTTTAAATGTTTCCTTTTTTCTTTATTATTTAAATTTAATTATTCTTATTAGAATTAATAGGCCCTCCATATACTTCGATTACAGCTCGCTAACCCATTGTCGTCGCTGTCTGTTGCGGCTGCGTGCCGTTGCCGCCCCCGCTGTTATTGCTGGCGCCACCGTCGCCGCCATTCCCATCCCCAGCGTTCGATGCGACTTCGTCCGCGCCTGCCGCTGCCGCACCGCTACCGCTCGCCTGTTGCTGATTGCCACCATTGTTGCTATTGCCCGCATCACCGCTGCCTCCGCTCGCTTGCGCTGCTGAAGACGCTGCAGGCGCACCACCGCTCGCGGTATTGCCACCGACTGCTGCTGCTACTGAAGCGCTGGACGATGTGGTGGCCGCTGCTCCGGCGCCGCCGCTGCTGTTGGCGTTAGCCAAAGCGCTCGATTGTGTGCCTGCACGTCAAATATGGTATGGTTGTCGGTGGGTTGATGGTCAATTGGTGGTCAAATGATGTGGGTGGGTATGTGTGTCGCACGTGCGATGTGGTGAAATGCGAGGAAGGAAGGAGATAAATAACAATAAACATTTGATTAGTAAATTTTACATTTTGACTGTCGCACAGCACAAGTAGAGCGTAAAAATGGCAAGTAACTATCGATTTCGATAACTGTAAAGTGACATTTTGTTAATTGTTATAATATTTGTCGTATTTTAAACATGTATTTTACATATTGTTAAAAAGAGAGCGACTTGCATAAAAATGTTATGTAAAAAAAACGAGTTGTTAAAGTGCATGCAACACCGAAATAGCGCCCAACGCTAAAGGTGGGCATAAGAAGAAATATTTAAAATAAATCGAATAGTTAAAGAAATATATTTGAAAAAGAAAAAAAATATATATATATGCCAAAAGTATTTTCAGTTGGAAAATTAACACTTTTTGATATTTATTTTTATTTTTGTTTGTTGACAAAAATTTTTATATTACAAGTTTCAGTATATTGGAAATTTTTCTGTTAAAACCTTAATCTAAAACTTCAAATAGAGATATATATTTTTTGAGAAAAATATATACTTTTTAAGATTTATAATTTATTGTATAAAGATAATTTTTCAAAAAAAAAAAAAAATGAAAAAATTGTTGTTTTTTTGTAAAAAATAAATTTTGCTTTTGCGAAATATTTCAAGAATTTACCTATAGAAATATAATTTATGTAATAAAAGAATTTAGATAATGATAACTGAAAATATATGCACATAAATCAAAATGTTTAATTTTATGTAATTTTCGTTAAGACACCTCCCTCTTAAGTTTTACAACAAAACTACAAATAGAATTTCGCTGTAAAATAAAATAAAATTGATTAGACAACTCTAAGCGAGAAAAGTGATGAAAGAGTGTTGATTGCAAAAAATTTAATTTCAAAAAGTGATATACTACTATAAAATCTTAAATTAAAGTTTGGTTTATTAAAATTAAAATTTTTAATAGATAAATTTTTGGATGCATGAAAATTTTGCTAGCTACTGGTGATGTGGTGAATAAGGCAAAGAGATGATGGCACAGTTATAAGAGATAGGCTACAGCAACAAAACTACGTAAAAAGTTAGAAAAAACCCCGAATGCCATTTGTTTTAAAATAATATTTTTGTTTTTTATTAAAATTTTTTCACTTTCATTTAATTGTATTTTCACAGTATGTATGTAGTATATTATGGTTGTCGTTTCATTAAAAATAATTATTAATAATTTAATTGTCTACTTTTAAAGCATTTTTTTTTATAATTTGCATTGTATTAAACAATTGATTTCACGCTACATTTTTGATTTCTTTTTTTTTTTTTTTTTTTAATTTACAAGATTTTTTGTTTTACCTAATACGTGTTAAAAATAAAAATAAAATAAAATATTTAAAATAAAGCAAGTAGTTACAACGAAAAAATCTAAGTTTATAATGTACATACATATATTATTTTTCATGTTTTTTTTTCATTTATATAAAACTAGCTTCTTCATTTCGTGCAGTATGTAAATATTTAATATTTTTTTCGCTTTTGAGTAACAAATTTAATAAAATATATGTGGTAAATAGTGATTGAAGGTAAAAAGACAGAGGCATGCAAAATAAAAGCGAAAAATTATCTAAAATATTTCATTCCACGGGCTTTAAAAGATTTTTCTTTACAATTTTTTCCTATGCAAATAATAACTGCTTTTTAAATGGAGAATCATTTGCAGCTTCCCAGTTTTCTGCCGTCTGTTTAAGGCAACTCCGCTGGCCTCGGAGCGGCTAAAAGGGTAGTCGAATTCCCACACTGACTTCGCGCGTCACAGCCTGCCGCGCTCCGTTCCGCTAATTGCGAAGCGCATTTCCGTCTGCCAACCGTAAAACAACTGCTCTCCCAGTTACTTCAGCATTTTTTTTTTACAAAATACTACGAGCTAACAAATTGTATAACAATTTTTGCAAAGCACAAATACAAAGTAATTATGTTGTGCTTGCGAGATATGGGGCTAATTTAGTTAACGGAAAAAAAAATTTTAAAAAAAAATGTTTTTCTTTTTTCCGTTTGTTGGTTTGGTTTTTTTTTTTAATTTTTTACGTTTCATAAAAATAAGTGCAGCGCAAAATGTAGAAGTTATATAAGTATAAATGATATACAAAAACAGAAAAAAGGAAGTTAAAAAAACTACAAATTTAATGCAAATTTTTTACATAAAATTATGTATCTATAAAAGTGGAGGTGCAATTTCGATCGCTCGCTTGCTTGTGTTTGGCTGCTTCTTCTCCTTTTAAGATTTCGCTTGTTAAATTTTTTATTTCATTATATTTTATTTTTTTTTCAAAGAAATATCTAGAGTTGCTCGCTTGATTTGCTTTGCTTATTGTGGCTGCTGCTTCTTCTTATGCTTCTAGGTTTGAAATTTTGCGCGCTTACAGTGCATTTCTTATATTTTTTTTAATTATTATTTTAATTTTTTCTTTGCAGAAATTTGCTTTAAAAAGTTTTTTTTTAATATGATTTTTGCCTTTTTACTATATGTGTATATGTATGATATTTATGTTGATAGATATAGCGCTTTTGCTTGCTGGCCATTTTCGCTTTGTTTTGATTTTTTTTTTGTTTTTGCCCTTCTATTTTATTACGCATAGGTACATTTCTTATTATTATTTTTATAGAAATCATGATTGTTTTTTTTTTTTTTTTTTTTCTTTCCTATGTTCTTGTTTATTATTATTATAACATAACGTAATAAAGAACTATGCCACTATGAATCTGTAAAAAATAAAAATATACAAACATATATATTTTCAGATAAAATAAAGAAAAGTGTGTGAGAAGTGAACATAAACACAAAAAGAAGATTCAAATAAATGTAACAAAGTCTGTAACAAAAAGCCAAGAAAAGCGGATGAAAAATGGGCAACAGACAGTCAGGCAGCACATGCTAAAAAAGAAGCGAACAATTTGAATTTTAGAAGAAAAAAAAGAAAACAAAAATGTAACGAAATCTAAAAAATTAAAAGATGCCAAAAAAAATTAAAATATTAAATGTTAAAATCACATTAAAATAAGGAAAAATAAAACATTTTAAAAATGATGGAATCAGAAAAAATATCAAACAATTAAATAAAAAAAACACAAAAACAAAAACAAAAACGAAGTGAAAACTTAATTTGAAAAAATTAAAAGATATGACAAATTAAAAAACTTAAAAAATAGGAAATAAAAAATAATATCAAACAATTAAATAAAAAAAAAACGCTGTAAAAACAAAAACGAACCGAAAAATTGAGTTTTTGGATCAATCAAGCTCCAATAGATAAAAATTTTAATTTTTTTATGGAAAAATTCAAGTTGAAATTACAAAAAAAAAATGTTTTAAATTTGTTCCAAAATCAGCTTAAATTAAAAAAAAAACTTGAAATGTCGACAAACTGGGACTAAATGAATACTTCCGAATTTAATGAAAATGAAATAAATAAATAAAAATTTCAAACTTTTGATTAGCTAAAAACGAATATGGGTGAACAAGAAATGTTCAAAATTTAGATGAAAAATAAAAACGAAATAAAAAATTTCAAGGAAAATAAAAAATGGAAAAAATCAAAATAAATTTTGTGCAAAAAAATAGATTTATAGCTAAAATATTTAAAATGAGGAAAATAAATCAAAAACGTAAAATAATAACAAATGAAAACTTAAAAAAATGCAAGGAAAGAAAATACGCTTTGAAGTAAATTTTACACATTTTAAAGTAAATAAAACCAACACCACATTTACTCAATTAATAGTTATGTCACTCTCTTTTGGTATTATTTTTCCTTTTTGGTGTACTATATGCAACTTTGCCTCATGCGATGTGCATGTGGTAGTTTTTTGATTTTGTTTTTTTTTCGCATAGCTTCTTGTCAAATGTGATTTGTTAAAGCCACAAACATAAATATGTGAAAAAATAACAATAACGAATTTAACAAATAATATTTTTAAATATCAACAATTAACAATGTCCTTTATGCAAATTTGATTTAAACAAATTTTATGACAACTTTTCATAAACTATATTATTAATCAATATCGCACTACTAACCTGAAGTTGCTTGGGAAGTTGCGCCGCCTGGCGTACCGGCGCCACTTGACGGATTTGATGCTGAGCCAGAAGCACCTTCGCCACCAGCACCGGCGACCGGTCGACCTGCGCTGTTATTTTGCAGATGTTTTGGCAACAATTGTGGGATTAGGCTTGGCTGTATCGAAAGTTCTGCAGGTGGTAAGAAAACCGAAATTGATCAAAAATAACAATGCTTAATACAAAAAAAAACTAAAAAATAAACTGTAAATAAAATGTTTACAAGAATTTGCAGCATAATTTTGGAAGCAGTCGCCAATTTTTAATTTTTTATTTTTTTGCTATATTACCACTCACTCACACACTTACCATGCTCTGTGAAATTAAATAATGGGGGCATAGGCCGTCCATTGGGCAATGTAGTGTTGCCCTCCTGACGCAGTTCGTCGAAGAATGGATGTGCGCAGGCCTTTAGTGGCGTTATACGTGCACTTGGCGTATACTCGAGCAGTTGCGATACCAGATTGATAGCTTCTGTCGGAGTGCGTATACGGAAAACCTGCGAAAAGAAAAATTTGGTGTTAGTTAAAAAAAAAACTATTTCTATTTTTAAGCTAAAAATGTTTAGTTTAAAAATGCTGTACAAAATTGGGGAAACACGAAAGAATGTAGTTTGCAAAAAGGGTAAAGGCGCTTGGAAATCCAAATGAAAATAAGGATATCAAGCTTAGATTTTTTTTTTAACTTCAAAATTGCTCATAGTTTACAACACGTTGTTTTACAAAAATATATAAAAAAAAATATACTTTAGTTGTATTAGCTATTACAGACATGAAAGGATAATTAAAGCCGAAAGGAAATGACAAAAAATAACTGATGGATTTCCAAGAAAAATATTGTATTTGATCACAAAACAACAGAAAAATTTAAAATTTCCAATCTAGGCGATTCTTTTGTTCTTAAGAAATGGGGGAGTAAACATTTTTTGACTTCGAAATCCACTACAATTTTTATTACTCAAAAAAGTTTAATAACAAACAACAGCCCACGTACAAATATGCGTGGAAGTAGAACATTTTAAGGTTTTTAGGGAATCATAAAAAATCGCTAAAGATGCACAAAAAAACTGAATATATTGACTTTATGCACCTAAAACTATGCCTTAATGAATATTTTCGTAATTAAGATTTTATAAATTTTTGTATTCCACCAGAAAACCTCAACATTTTCGAAAATCTGTAGTCTAACATATTTTATTTGCCAGAACGCTCTGGAAAGTATGATTATTTCCCAGATATATGTAAGATTTTCAAAGCTCCAACAGCAAAAAAATTCCCCATATTCACTGTTGGTTTGCCGCAAACTTAGGTTACTTTTAAGCGCTTATTTAGTTTACTTTTCATATACTTTAGCAGTGAAAATTAAGAAAATCGGGAAGAGTCTGCATCTGGCTTTAAGAGAATAAAAATATAACTTTTTTAAACGCCAACATATCTTTTAACTTACATTTTTTAGATTTGTGTTTCTCCTGCCAGTAATATACCCTACTTCTCTACTTATTCCACTACTTCAGTTATTTGCTTGAGAACTCATTCCGTAAAACCATGAAAAGCGTATTAAAAAAAATACTGTACACTACTAGTTTACCACACTTTATGACTTTTCCTATTTGGTGGAAAAGGCTTGACCTCCCTCAAAAAAATATAAGCGCGTCTCTAAAGTACATTCTTCCTGCCGCGCAAGGCCACAAATGACAATGAATGAGTCCTGCTAAAGGGGAGGGGGAGCAAAATTTGTCAAGGGGAAAAAGTGTAAATTGCCAAGGTTTGCAAATATGTTGATGTATTTACAGCAGTTTCCCATACATTGGGAACAAAAGGGAGACATTTTCAAACCGAAAAAGTAAAACAATCGAAAGAAAAACGTAGGAAGGTAAGCGTCGTCGAGCGTGGGATTAATTGCAATGTGATGCACTATTTTTGAAGCAACGTAAGCGCGCACGCACGCACTGCCAAACATACATACGTACTACATACACACGCATACATACATACACAGAATATGTTGTATATGCAAGCTCAATTTCATTACTAATTTCATTGCATTCCTAAGCGAACGAGATACTTTTTTGAAAAAAAAGAAAAGAAAATTTTACAAAATTCAAATGAAAATGAAAATTTTCGACAAAAAAAATCATCGGCCAATACAAAAATTAATCGATGGATATTTTGTGTAGTTAGCGCGTTGTTGTTGTTAACCGTCAGGCAGCCAAGCCAATTCAGTCAAATCAATTGAATTCAAAAGTGTATGAAAAGTTAAGGTATGTAAATATTTTTAAATCGATACCGACAGTTAGAGGTTGTAAAGGTAAAACCAATTTGCATTTGTTGCTGTTTTTTCTGCGCAATACTTTCCGATTTTTTCACATGTGACTTAGCATGCTAAATGCTGACTCTTTTTCTTATTTTTTGCACTTGGTATTTATTCAAGTTTTTCTTTTTTCGCTTTTTTTGTTACTTATGGTATATGTTTATTTATGTTTTCTTGCGTGTTAACTAGAAATTTATTTTATATATTGTAGGTAGGTATGTATGTTGGTGGTGTGTTTGGTTTTTGCTTACTCTCCAACGTTGCTTCTGGTTTAGGGCGCTTGAAAATTGGCTACGTTCAAGTAGTGACTGTAAATAGTTCACACTTCAGTTAAAAACACAAATACAGATACAAAAACAAATACAAAGATGTATACAAATACGAAAATTTGTAGGCAAAGAAAAACAATGGCAAGTAACTCCTGAGCAAATATAAAATATATGTACATACATATGCAGAATTTAGAATGAGATGTGCAAACTGAAGAAACAAATATGTACAATAAATAAAATAAACAAATTTGTAGGTATGTATATGATGATGACGTTGGTGAAGTGAACTCAAAAAAAAAAAACAAGAATAGTGACTTAAGCGATAGCGGTACGTACGACTAACATTAGCTGACCATTAAACATACCAGCAACTGAATAAATTAATTATAACTTAAATAATGGCTATACTAAGTGAATTTGATTAACGCTCAAGACAAAAAGCAAGCGAAAGTCGATAACACCAATAACGCGATAACTCCATTTAAATAAATCTATCTATCAAAGACTGACGGGGCGGGGCGGCGGGGCGGCTTAAAGCTGCATATTTCATTTGCAATTTCAATTATCACATAATTTTCATAAACAAATACATATATTTTCTCTGCTCTAACTCTCGTAATTTTGTCCTTATTTTTATCTCCTTTCGTTTGCCTCTTAATTTCACTCCTTTTTACAACTAAAACTACATATTTCACATTAACCTACATACAGTTTCTATAACCTCTAAGTTACACTTACTTTCTGCCATGGATGACTTTTAATTTGTGGAAATTTAAATTCCGTGTAATTTGGATTCATTTCGCGTATTTGTTCTCGTGTCGGTGTGCCTAAAACTTTGATAACCTCAACCAATTGATCGACACCAGAATCACCGGGGAATATCGGTTGACCGAGCAGTAATTCAGCTAATACACAGCCGGCGCTCCACACATCTGAAAGAGAGGAGAAAAAATGTGTTTAACTGCTCACATACAACATGATGAAAGAAAGAAAATGGCGTGAAAAAAGTTATAAAGAAAACAAATTTCAAATATAAACAAAGAATATTAAAATAAAAAATTTGAAAAAAAAATTTAATTTGAATTTGAAGAAACTAAAAGACTGAAACAGAAAATATAATCATATAAAAAATCAACAATTTAAGACAATATACATAACTCAAAATTGGAACTTATTATTTTTTTAATTCTTTAAAATTAAAAAAAAATTTATTTTATAAAGAAAAGAAATAATTTTTTTTTGTTTTATTTTTTTTTTTTCTAATTTAATTTTTAGGTAAATTGATGTGAAAAAATCTATTTAAATTTTATAAAATTCGTGTTATTAATTTTTTCAGTGGTTCGTTACTTACCAATTTTTGTAGTGTAATTAATGGCGCCAAATATTAACTCCGGTGCACGATAATATCGCGAGCAAATATATGATACATTCGGTTCACCGTGCAACAATTGCTTAGCGCTGCCAAAATCGCATAACTTTAGCACAGCCGTCTCTGGATCCAAGAGCAGATTTTGTGGTTTGATATCACGATGACAGATACCCAAGGAGTGGATGTAGGCCAAACTTCTGAACAGTTGATACATATAGAGCTGCCGGAGGGGGAGAAGCAGAAGAAAATAAAAATTAGAAAATATTTCATCAAAAAAATAACTGCTTTAAAATTAAAAAAAAAAAAATAATATTATTCGTAAATGCTGAATTGAAAAATAAAATGTTTATACCGAATTTCCACTATGCATTAAATTACAAAAATTTTAATGACAAAGTTGGACATTAAAATACCAAATCGAATTTATAAAAATAATTCATTTCCAATGGCCAACATTTTTTTGTAATTTCAAAGCTCAGTGAAAATGCGGCATTAAAATAGAAAATCCATATTCACTTACCCGTATAAAATTAATTGGTATCGTTTGCTTAGTTTTGGCATATTGACGTGCCACTTTGTATACGGTTTCTGGTATATACTCGAGGACTAAATTCAAAAACACTTCATCACGCTAGAATTTTTTATTTTTTTTTTGTAGGAAAAGAGTAAGAGAAGAAGCGCAAACGCATTAAAATATTTGTTGGAAATGGATAAAAGCAAAAATGAACACAAAATTAGTGCACATTTAGCGAATTGCGAATGATAAACGATTGATAAAATGAAAACACTTCGAAATTGGTGGCGGGGGAAGAGTATAGAAAAACAATATGCGGGGGGGATAAAACATTAATGTAATATAATAATGTTCTGCTTATTACTTCAATGCCGCATAGTAGCTAAGACTTAGCACTAAATTTTACGTTTATTTACACTGTGAAAATTTTTGGAAATTTGTTGTTTTTGCTTTTGGTTTACATAATTAAAAAGTGACGCGAGCAGTAAACTTCATGTGTGCGGGGCAGCGTAGAAGAAAATAAGGTAAGCAATGTTGTGTACTTTTATATACAATAAATTTTTTGTACTCTTTGTACATTTAATTTTTACTGCAACAAGCTTTTGTAGTAGAGAGTAGCGATTTGTTTAGAATTCAAAAAAGTATTATCATTGTTAGCACTAACAAACCAAATGTCGTGATGACATGAGTAGTACAGTTTTTGCTTTTTGATTGTAGTTGTTGTTGTTGGCAGTCATGCTGCCTACTGTTTTATATTTAATTTTTTCATTTCCACTGTTTTGTTTTTTATCGATGAGATGAGTATCTAAGATATTTATTTGATATTTTACATAGTTTTTGTTTCGGTTTTTTTGCATGTAACACTTTCTAGCTACCTGCGGTTTAAGGACACTGGCGAAGATGCCAATATCGATCGGGAATTCAGCTAACTGCATTTTACATTTTCGTATTGAGTGTGTATTACAGTTGTATTTGGAAAGTTGTCAAAAATTTGCAAGAATTTGCGCGTGCATAAAAAATTTATAAATTTTTTTTTTTTTTGCAATTTGTTTGTTTTGCGCATTTCGTTTGTTTTTTCGGAAATTCATATTTTTGCGTTTATTTTTTAAGCGCAGTTGAGTTGTCCATATAATAATATAAATATAAAAAAAGAATTCATTAGAAACAGAACATAAAAATTGAAGTGATAAACATGGATTGTTTTCTTGTTGGAATGCTGTATGAAACATTTGAAAACATAAGGAACGCAAAAAGGGGATCGATCGGTCACTGAAATGTGATGAAAAATTGCAGTTATGAGAAAAAATGTTGACTGAACATTGGTTGTGCGCTTCCAGTTGCCATTATGTTAAAAAAAAAAAAAATTAGCAGATGATTTGTCGTGTGGCAAATGAAAATTGCACCCGTGCTTTTCTTATTTTTTTTTTTTTTTGTTAATTTCTTCATTGGGAATGCGGTTATTTTCCATTAAACACAGGGCCATCTGAGCGATGTGTCCCAAAAAATTGCTCGACATAATTTATTGTATGTGTAGTTGATATGTGCCATTAATGCTTGCTTGTAATTGTTGTTGTTGTTAGTAGGGACGGACACGTGGGTGCGTTTATTTATTTATTAAATTGTTTGTTATCTTGTTAAAAAGAACTTACCTTTTCACCACTCGAATAGAAAAAATACAAAAGTTTTACAATGTTACAATGCTCCAGTTTACGCATAATTTGCAATTCACGATTCTGTGGGAGATAAAAATAAGAGAAAAGTTAAATAGATGTTGTGATAGATTAAAAAAAAAAGTTTTTTTTTTTACTGCGCTATTCTTATTGACAAATAAAGAATTACTGGGATTTTAACATTTATGTACATATTTTATTTCCTAACTTTTGAATTATCTGCATGCATGTCGACGCCTCCAAAGCAAGCGGGAAAATAAATGGCGACGCGACATTTTAACAAGTTTATTTTTTTTTGTTATTTAACGTTTTGTATTTTTTGTTTTATAAAAGTATAGCTAATTATCTAACAAAAACAATATAAGTCACAATTTCAAACCTTGTACAAAAATTAGGAAAACTCAACAATGTTTTATCAAAATTTCAATTTTTTAATCAGAATTTTTAGATAAAAAGTTGGTATGCAATTTTAAGGCTCGTTAAAATTTTAGTATAACAATCTACAAGTGTTGAGTTGCTGCAAAATACCGTAGGTTTTGATAATTTTTTTGCATGAGATGCAACGTATTTGAAGGTATAAAAAAATTTAAATGCAGTGTATGGAAGAAAATGCGTTGAGTAAGATAAATTACACTTTCATAAAATAAATAAAAGGAAAGTAGCCAAAATTTGTTAATAAGTCGTGTCCTTATTTATTTTTCCGCTACTGTATGTAGCTACATACATACATACATACATACATATGTATGAACATGTTTTGTAATTAAACTTTTTATTTTTTACTTAATTTTTGTTTTTTGTAAGTTTTTATTTTTTTAACTTCTTTGTTGGTACAGTGTTGGACATATCATTTTGGACCAAATACAAAATAATATTGTTTATCATTTAAACATAATTTTGAAGATTTTTCAATTCAAATACAGTTTATTCCTTCATAAATACCAAATAAAGCTAAACTTTAAAACTTTGTAGGACACTGAAACAAAAATCATCAAATTTTTATTAAAATTTCAAACTCTTTTCTCAGTTGTGCTAAAATTGTTTTGAGAATACAGTCCTTATAGTCCTTTAAATTTTAGTATAATAAAATAAATAAATTTTAGTGAAAGTTTCAACTGGATAAAAATTACTTTTGATTTTTTAGATTTTCTATGCGGTTTCCTCCATATAAAAATTGTGTTTTTTTTTTCGTACACAAAAAATATAAAAGTAACGGTAATTCTTATTGTACTAAAAATTTAAGGGATACAAAATTTATACTCAAAAATTTTTAGCACTTCTGAGAAAAGTTTGTAATTTGGATGAAAATTTTATGAATTACGTTGTACTTAGGTTTTAATGGTATTTGTGAGAGTATGAATTGCATTTGAATTGAAAATTCATAAAAATTTATAACTAAACATAAGTGGCAAACAATATTATTTTGAATTTGGTCTAAAATGATATGTCCGTCACTATATCTTTATTTTTCGCTCGTATTTTTTTTTTTGTATCTTTTATTATATTTTAGTTTTTATTTAATTAATTTTTTTCCATCAATTATATGTATGTATATTTATTATTTTTTTCTATTTATGTATTTTTTCATGCATCTATTTTTCTATATATATTTTTTATTTATACTATATATTTTATTTATATATTTATTTTTATTTTGTTTCTATTCATTTATTATTTCTTATTTGTATTTTCATTTGTTTTTTTTCTTCTTTATTTGCTTCTGCCACTTTCATTTTAAATTGCTAATTTTACTTTTTATTTTGATTGGTTTACCCTCATGTCCTTTGTTTAGGTTTTTTAAATTAATATTTTTTTAACTAATAGTTATTATCTTTTTCTGGTGTTAATCATAATTTTTATTAACTACTTTTTTATTATTTAACATTTTTTTTTAAGTTTTTATTCCCATTATTGATCGATTTTTTATTTGTGTTTAAATTATTTCATCTTAACTTTGTACCCAACCTTTAAGCGCAGTGGTATTTCCTAATGTTTATGCGAAGAATATGCTCACCTTAAATCGTCTGTCTTGTAAAACTTTTTTGATAGCTACCAGCTCGCCGGTATCGCATAATTTCGCTTGAAAGACCACACCGAAACTGCCATTGCCAATCACCTTGGTATCTGTGTAGGAAACTTCTTGCACGCGGTCCGTACCTTGGCCAGGCGTGGCAACGACTGTTGTAATCTTGGAACCATCTCTGCCTAAAAAGTGGAAAGAAAAATAGTGAAGAAAATTGTACTTTAGTATGAGGCAGTGATTTAGATTATAAAAAATTAGTCCATATATACATATAAAAAAGTTATATTACATCTATAAAGAATGTAACTATTTTTAGGCAAGGCACAAGTTTTTATGTCGCAGAAAAATGGGTTAAAAAATTTAAACTTTAGTTGAAATTTGGAAATAGTCTACTGAAATATTAAAATATTTTTTAGAGAATGATATTTTTAATTTAATTTTCATAAAAAATCTAATTAAGGTACATAAATGTTTTAATATTTTTTTTTTTATTGTATTGCGTGAACTTAGTTTTCCACCAATTCTTTGGGCCGTCATCAGCACCACAAGATTTAACGCCTGCTTCCACTTGGTGCTTTAAAACACATGCACGATTTTTTTTTAATGGTATTTCAATGCACACATATATACATATTTCCATTCCAATTACCTATCGTCTCCCAGGCGCCTTCCAATTTCTCTTTCGTTGGATCGATTTCTTTTGGAATAGAATTTGCTACACTATGCTCGGGCCAAAGGCCATTCAATTTACCAATTAGCTGTCGCATACCTTAAGCCGCATTAAGGCAACAACAAAGTAGAGCAGATGACGATGCGACGAGTGCACAGATAGAAGAGAGTAGGAAAAAGGAGAAGCACACGAGTGGCGAGAGACAAAAAAAAAAGAGTTGTTTATTGGTGAACAAAGCGTTAATTGTTTATTAAATAATTTTTTCAATTAACTATTTTCAAGTATTTATTCGTGATTTTAAGAGCGGGCAGCACAAAAATTATGGGGCGTTTACGCAGCTTATCAGCCATAATTACAAGTTTAACTTTTATTGCATGAACTAACTTGGTAGTCGGGTTGCCAAGTGGTAAATGTGGAGCATTGCTAAAAACAAAGTCATAAACAGCGTCGAGTAATACGAGCCAAAGAGCAAATAGGGAAAATAAATACATACGCACATACATACATACATATTTACTTTGTTGACTGCCAGCCAACAGCACAGCTAACCAGCCAGCCAACCAGCCAGCCAGCCAACCAGCCTAGAAATCTGATGCAGTAAATTCTCTACAAATAACGCTATATAAATAAGACTAAAGTAATAAAGGTGTACTTGAGATTGTAGGGCGATGTTTTCGCAATTGTTTATGCAGGCATGTGCTTATCGCGAGGCATTCTACATATTGTTCTTTTTTTATTTTGTAATTTCTAAAGCTGTATGTATGCGTGTGCTAGTGTATAAATGTAAATTCTGCGCGATTAATATGCCTTGATAAACGAGCGCCTTTGTGTGGCAAATCAACAATATTTGTAGGAATTATGATGTATATATTAAGTTTACACTTAAGCAGCGCCGTTAGAGTTGCATGCATCAAACACTTTAACTGTGGCAAGGGCTTTGTGGATTGTGTGCAAATGTGCGTCGTGTTGTTTTGCGTGGTTGTTGTTATCATTGTCTTCAAAGATTAACAAAGAATTTTTATTTACCCCAGTTGATAAAAAAGCGCGCTGATAACGCAAGCGAGCTGACTTTGGAACAATTAAATAAGAAATGGGTATGTACGAGTAAATATAATATTTATGCGTCCAATGTCAATAAAACGCAGTAGCCAAGTTTCATTTAAGATTACCTAAGGTCTTACAAACTTGTTGTTGGCGTTCTGCACTAGTGTGAACGCTTGACAGTTGTCGGTGGGAAAAAAAATAATAATGGGAAGGAATGCTTAATGTTAGCACCGGTAGTATGCGAGTGGGCGTTTACCTCTGAACCCAATGACAGCTGTGTGTCAATCAAGTCACAATAAAATGAAGCACAAAAAAAAAGAAGAAAAATAAACGCGAATAGGAAAAAGAGTTAGTATTTTGCGGCGCTGCCACTTTCGCGGCTGCAAATAAAGAAAAAGCTATTTTTTCATTGACTTATTTTTATTTATAATTTGATGCAATTTTTGTTTTTTATTTATGTGGTATGTACATATGTGTAAATGCTTCAACGCAGCAGCTGACAGGTGTTGACGTTTTTTTTTCAAGCTTGCTCTATGTTGCCCTTAGCTTTGACATTCAAACTGTCAATGCAAAATACATGTATGTATGCTCGCGTGAAAAATTCAAAGATTGAGGTTAATGTCAATGAAAATTTAATAGCGTCAACGCATTTTGAAGACTTTCTTAATGTAGTTGCAGCGCAATTTAATGCATATAGAATCTTATATAGTCATATAAACGCCAGTTAAAAAACTGCGATGCTTAAGAGCTTTTATACTATTTTTTGCCCTTTTGCTTTCTTAATTTTTTAGTTAGATGCGATACAAACATGTTTATTTTAATTAAATTTGGCAAAGTTACAACATTTTTCTGTCTACCGTACGTTGAAAGCGAAGGTTGTAGCTGTCACTTTTTTTTGTGCACCTGTCAAGGTGATGTAGAGTTGCTTGAAGGGAAAAAACGTAACGTGCAAAAAAAAAGCGTTGGAAGCAATTTCCAAATCAATAAAAAAAATTAAAAAAAATTTCACTGAAGTTCTACAGTTGCGAAATAGCTCCGGAAAATTTCAGACTAAAAAATAAATGTGCACGTGTAAAACGTTGAGTGAAAGCGTATAAAATGTTGGAAAATTCTATACACACTGTCGGAACAAAGCATCGGCCAGTAAATTTTTCAAAATATATGCAACAATTTTTATTCTAATATTTTTCCGCCAATTTTGTATAAAAATATGGTTCATTCTACAACAAAAAACATAAAAATTTTAATTTCTAAACTTTGTGCAAAACTCGCGAAACTTCAGCAAATTCTCAACTTTTTAATCAGACTTTTTAGATTTTTTTTTTGTAATATGCAGAATTGTAGCCTAATCAATTTTATTGAAACTAGAGTACAAGTTTTATGTAGCTAGGAAATACCGTTGACTTTTGGCAATTTTTTTCGTGGTTTTTCTTCCATACAAAAAACTTTCCAAAATTTTTAATATGGAAAAAATGCAAAACACCTTCAACAAAAAAAAAAAAATTCTCGAAAATCAATGCGATTTTCGACTAACTCCGAGCTTGCATTATTTTACTAGAATTTAATGGGCTGCAAAACTGCATACTCAAAAAAATTCTAAAAATCTGATTAAAAAGTTGAAAATTTACATGAAAATTTGCTGCATTTTCGCGAGTTTTCCACAAAGTTTAGGAATTATATTTTTTATGTTTTTTGTTGTATACAACTTTAATTTGTAAGCTAATGAGCAAGCTATGTAGTAAACATTATCCTAATGGTAAGAAAAAATTCCGATTAATCATTAATGAGTTCAACGCACGTAAATATAATAGATATATGTATGTATGTGCTTGCTAACGAAAAGGTGATAGCAGTTGTCTCCAGCGAATTAATAGTATCGAAAATCGATAACTAACAAATGCGTGAATTACACAATGTGCTCAGGTTTCAGCTGACGTAAATGTATCCACAATGCAATTAATTTAAATGCTGTTCTTGAACTTAAGTGCATCTATAATTAAATTAAATGCATAGAGTGGTTCAAAAATATTTTTTTTTTATTATTTCATCCGTTACTTGCAATAAGCACGCTAAACACGATTTATTCTCATAAGCAGTACATCAAACTCGTTTTTAGCAGTTCATTCACTGTGTCAGCGATTAAGCAATTAATCATAAACAATTAAGCGAGCTGGTAGAATACGCTTTGTACAAAAAACAAATACATTTTTTTAATAAAACAAAATATATGCTAAAGAACGGAAGTTGAAACTAATGGTAGTTATAAGATGTATTTGCTTAAAATATTAAATAATTATGCAATTAAAAATTTAGCATTACAAAAAAAAACAAATGCTTTGCTTCACTGCCAACAAATGCAAAAAATGTCAAATATAATAAAACAATAAAATATGTACACGCATACGGCAGTAAGTATAGCAGTAGTATGTATATGACTTAAAACACAAATACTAAAAATAAAATTTATCAAAAGAGCATGAAATACTTATAAAATTTTATGAACTGCTTTAAATTTTCAGCTTTAGTACAGCTGTCAAAAGGAGGCGGGCGATAATAGCTGAATACAAATTTAAAAAAATGCGAATATTGCAAGGTAGCAGCACTCGACTTAAGTTGGCAAACAGCATAAAATTTTATCAGTGCAAATTAGATTTGCTAGTAGCAGTTGGAAAATGGGTATAACCCTGAAGAGTTTCAATTGCTTCAAAAAGCAAAAAATAAATACCTGTTAAAGCAAGTAAAAAAAAAGTCAAAAGTAAGCTTATCAAGGATTTATCTTCGCTCTGAGCCAAGGCGAATTCATTCATACAAGGTGGTAGCAGTAGCCCAACAACAAACATTTAGGGCCGTTTTCTCAAGTAGCTTTTAAAATGTATCTGCCATTTAAAGACAAATTTTGTTATCACAAAATGTTTGAAGGGCACATAAATCAATTTTAAAAGCTACTTGAGAAAACAGCCCTTAAATGTCTTTTGCCACTTCTTTTTTTTCTTTTTTTTTTTTGTATTTAAGGATGTAAAATCGAAATAGAGGAGATATTTTTCGTCATTTCATTTTGCGGACATCTTAAAGACTGAGGCGAACGAAAAAATAAAAATAAAATCAGCTGGTCGAGTAACACCATCCTGTACGAATGAATTCGCATTGGCTCTGAACCCTTTATTCTTTTGCGCTGCCCGCTCGCTATTCTCTCAAGAATTGTTTCGTTTTTTTTTTTTTTTAATTTTTCTCCGATATTACTTGGATCGTATTGCTTTGAATTGGTGCGCGTCAGCGTACGCGCGCTTTTCACCACACCGCCGCCACCGCAGCTGATCTTAGACAATGGCGGCGGCATGCGTCGCTTATCACCACTGCCATTGCCAATGCCACCACTACTACTGCTGCTGCTGCTGGAGGATGTGGACGTGCCACCGCTGCTGCTTGTAGTCGTTGTTGAGGTTGTTGTTGTATCGGAAGTTGTAGTTG